AACTGGAGGCTGCAAGAGGAAGGAAGGAAGGGCAGGTGGGGTCCTTTGAAGGGACAGACACTTGTGCCATCACGTCCCTTCATATCTCTACCCCTGGGGGCTGTGCTCTTCTGTTCTGCCAAGGTGAGAGTCTAAACTGCTTGGAAGGAGGCACCTCCCTTTGAGGATGTCATTACCTCAGGGACCGCAAGCCCAGTCTGCTCAGGAAGGATGAGGCACTAGAAAGGGTGGTGGGGAACTAACTGGCTGGAACTGCCTTGGAAGTGGGGGTTTCCAGCCAGTGTGCTGGGCTGAAGGCCCGTGGAGCCCGGACAGGCAGGCTGCCACTCCACCTGACCACCAGAGGCCCCAGGCTTCTGGGGCAGCTTTTCACTCTGCTCCCCTGGGCCCTGGCTCCGTGAGTAGGCCCCACGGGGCTTTGTCGGTGGGCCTCGGATGTCCGTCTCCACCCTGCCTCGGCCACGCGCCGGGCATCAGCTCGTGCTCTGCCTTAGCACAAGCCCCACTTCCCTTTCCTCCTCTCATAGTCTGTGTTGGAAGGGCGGCACCAGGGCTGTCAAAGTCAGGCTGACCAGGGTTCCAGTTCCAGCTCCGCCACTTATTAGCAACGGGACCTCAGCCAGGTCCCTTCATTGACCTGTGCCTCAGTGTCCTTCTTTTTAAAATGGGCTGATATTTGAGGGAACCTCATGAATTTGCCATCTTTACAGGTCAAAAATGGTTGGATACTGGCGACTTCGTGTGGTTCAGCCTGACAGTGCCTGCCTCGCGGGGCTGTGGTGTGGGCTAATGTGCAGTGCGGTGGCGGGTAAAAGCCGTCATTCCTTGTGCCCTCTGTCTCCCAGGAAAGTGTGTGCTCGCTCTCCCAGGTGAGGTGAGCCTCCTCCCTCCTTGGTCTCTCTCCTCTGACACTGGGCTCCGCAGCCCCTCTACTGCTGGCCCTTCCACATTCCCTTCCCTGCTCCTCCGGCCACAGCAGGTGCAACTCTCCCCCAGCCGGGTGCAGCCTCTCGGGCTGCTCCAGCATCTCGGGGCAGACTGATCTCCACATCCTTGTTGACACCACCTTCTCCTCACTGTCTCTGTGTCCCTCAGTGTCCTGGGCCTCATCTGCAGGGGGGACAGTGTGGGTGAGGGCACTGTGTCCCCTAGGCTAATCACTAGCTGTGGCTGGGATCAGTCCTTGGCTCTGAGATGGGAGTGGTGGGATTATGGCCCTTTCCAGCCCTGGAGAGAGGGACACCTGCCTCTGGGATGGGGCTCTGAGCAGGGCAGGGGACTGCGGTGTGGCTGGTGCTCCTTTGTGGCCAGGCACCTGGTGAAGGACTGGCATGGGTGGTGGGTCCTGTCCCCTTGCCCTCCCTTGGGGCTTGTACGTTAGGCTTTGGGGTCAGAGCTGCAATTGGGTGGGCTCAGAGGCCTGGGCATGGGCCTGTGTGATTGCTGTGGCCAAGTCCTCATGGTGGGGGCCAGGGCCCCTCAGGGTGGGGTTGGTGGGATGAGTGACAAGGGAAGGAACTGACATTTGATGAACACCTACTACGTGCCAGCTTGGTATTTTGGCAAAACAGGTATTAATAACTTTACCTCTCAGAGAGAGTAAGCAAAGCTCCTCAACAGGGCCTGGTCCATCAAATTACACCATTTTCCCAAAGAACCAGGGTGGAGACTGAATCTGAAAGAGCGCCAGGGAGCAGGGGCTCCAAGGTCCTGCCTTTCAGACTCCCCTTGGTCGCTCCTTGATCCCCTGACCAGAGAGGGAGCCAGAACACCCTGCAAGATAAGCTTTACCCACCCCTGCTCCTTGGACAGCTGAGGAAACTGAGGCTCAGGAAAGTTCAGCCACTCTCCCACAGCCATCCTGCCGATGGGCAGCAGAGCTGGGATGTGAACCCAGGACAGGCACACCTGCGATGGCTCTGTGTGATAGGGATTCTGTTCTTGATCCAGAGGCCCTCTGAAGACCCAAGAACCAGGCCCATACCCTGCTGTAGGGTGAAAGCCCCCTACCTGTAAGGTGCCTCTTCCCCTACAACCGCAGTCTCACTCTGGCCCCTCCTGACCCTGATTCTTTTGTCTCGATTGGTGTAGCCATGGCTGGGTCACGGTAGCTTCTCACCAGGCCCGGGTGGCATCTGGGTGCTATGTTCTTTCTTACTTGGTTCTGTTCAGGAGCATCCCTCAGGGTCTCCTGTCCTGTGGCTTCCACCTCCCAGCACAGTCTATGGAAGGCATCCAGCTCTCCTGCCGACTTGGGCTCAGGGGTTTGAATTACTGCTGTCTTGCCCCTGGAGTTTGCACCTGGAAATCCTTAGTCGCTGTGTCCCTAGGGCCCCTCTGGGGCGGGGGCTTGTGGAGTCCCCTTCTAGCTGGCCCCTTCTGGGCCCCTCCGAGCCTCAGCAGCTCTGGGGAACAACGTGAGGGCCAGTCAGCAGTTCCACTCCTTTCCTGCCCCCGCACTGTGATCTCCTTCCTCCTCTCCCAGCCCCAGTGCTTCCCTCTGCCCTGTTCTCAGAAGTTGCAGGAAGGGCTGATCTGGGCCCAGGCCTCCATGTGGTCTAGTCATCAGTGTTGGTGTGGGGTGTCCTGGCCCACTCGTGACCATCCCGTGTGTTAGTCTCTGCCAGTTCTGTGAGAAATGCTCCTTCTCCAGTGCTCCCTCCTTCTGTCTGAGCTTCCTTCCCGTATCCATTCTCTAGGCCCAAAGTGATCTTTCTGGAGTGGACTTGGACTTGCTGGTCTGGCCCACCTTTCCAGCCTCATCATTTGTCACTCCTTTCTGCCCACCCTGGCTCCAGTTATTCCCAGCTGCTTGCTGTTCCCAGGAGGCTCTGCTCTTTCCTGCCTCTGTGCCTTTGCACATGCTGTTCCCTGAACCTCGAATTCCTTCTTCTCTCCCTTGTCCATGTGGCTGGTGGACTCCTCTTCAGCCTTTGAGCCCCGGATCAGTGTCACCTCTTTTCTCATCCTCCTGCTCCCTGCTCCTTCTCTTTCTCCCAGCTCACAGGCATCCCATCCGTCCTGGTTTTGGCAATGGCATTGTGGCCTTGAGATCCATCTGTGTTTGTGGTGGTCAGCCCCTCTAGTCTGGGAGGGCCACGGCTATGTAAGTCATCTTTGCAGCCCTTGTCTTTAGCCTGGGGCTTGGCATACGTTTGCTGAGTGCATGCATGAAGGAAGCAGTGGGTGTTTTCTGGAGCCCCCCTGCCTAGTCACTCCGCTCTGATCACACTGCCGTTGGTCGGTTTGGAATTAACGGTGTTGCTCTGCACTGCGACCCGGCCCTGGTGGACTCTCAACCAGAGCCTGGGTTTCTGGCCCATTGGCTGCTTCTGAGCCCAGTGCATCTGCCACAGTTTCATGTAGCTGTGACTGCTTTTTGTCTCATACTGGATCTTGTGTTTGGCCCTGGTATGTTTCATTGTGTCATGTGCAGCCCCAAATGGCCCTATTTACCGGAAGACTGTGGGACTGGAAAAACCTTCCTGCCTCTGAGATCTGGTAGCCTAAAAAACCAGATTGTAGACTATTAGGCAAATTCATGACTTGATCTTTTAAATGGCCAAATAAGACTCGTCCTTGTAAGTCAGATCAAATACTCAATGAGTGGCCTTCATGACAGCAGACATAGAGATTTTACTAAGCTCTGGGGAATTTTGGCCTTACTCTTTGAAAACTGCCTTTAAACTAGCACTTGATCGTGAGGAAAATATGTATGTTCAAAAATAGGCATGGCCATTATATGAGACTTAAAGAATATCTCAAATAGAGTATTCTGCTACCAGCAGTTTTCTCAGAATGGGGCCAAAGGCCATGTGCATCAGAATCACAGAGGCCACTTGTAAAATACAGATTCCCGGGCCCCATCCTGGAGTCACTTAATTACATCTCCTGGAGAGGAGCCCTGGAATCTGCCCTTTGAACATGCTCCCAGAATTCTGTTGTTTACTGAAGGTTGAGAACTGCGACCTTGTGGGTTAATAATGACTAGAGAACTTGTGAGATGAGTCACAATGATGTGCGTAGTGATCTGGTGGCTCTCTATGCAATATAGCCATGGCTGGCACCACCACTTGGAGGCTCTGGAGCCCAAATTCTAATTCAGTCTTGGCCAGGGGTCCCTTGTGCTGGGAAGGTACCAGGGGAAGGGACAGGGGTGCCAGGGCATGGAGGCATGCAACAATCCGGTGTGTTTGGGAGCTGCAAACTCCATCAGGTGCTTTGAGCATAGGCATGAAGTGGGCTCTAGGGAGGGCAGTGAGCACGGGGCTGTGGCCAGGTGTGATGTACACATGGGCAGGCGGAAGCCAGTATGCTGATGCGCCAGTCTTTGCATACCTGGCAGTCTTCAACTTTGCCATGTGTCACCTGAGAAACAAGGCTGGCAGAGAGGGAGGGGCTAAGAGCAGGAGGGGGCACTGAGCGTCAAGCCCTGAAGTTTTGGTCCTATGCAAAAGGGCCTAGGGTGCCACGGAAGGACATAGCAGTCACTGTGCATAGCAGCATTTATTGCTGTCTCCATTTGGATGCAATGTGATAGGAGCTTTCTACCCATGCTTCCTGAACAATTCTTTCCCTAAACTCTGCATACAATGCTCCAACCTCTTTATCATCAAAACCTTGTCAAATCTTGAGGTCCTAATTTGTGGAACGAGTTCCGGCATTAGAGAGACCTGGGTTTGTATCTGGACCCCATTACTTATTAGCTGTGTGACTACGGGCAAGTTGCTTTCCATCTCTGTCTTAGAGTCCTCATCTATGAAATGGATTGATAACACCTAATCACTAGCTATAGATGCAAAGTACCGAGCACAGACACGGGCATGCAGCAAGTGCTTCTCACAGGGTCACGATTACTAGATGCCAATGTCTTACCGTGAACCTCTGCCAGGTCTGAGACTTGGGATGGGGGCAGCTGAGAACCCTTCTACCTGGCTGCTCCTTCCTGGATCCTACACCGGAGGCTCGATCCCTGAGTTCCATTTGTCTGTTTGCCTTGCAGGCGTCATCCCTGAAGTGGGTCCCTTCATTCCAGAGCCTCTGGAGTCTGCTCACATCCACCATGAACACCTCTCACCTCCTGGCCTCGTTGCTTTCAGGATCCCCGCAGGGTGAAAACAGGAGCAAGCCAAGGGGCATCGTCTACAGCCTCTCTGACCACTGCCAAGATTCCGTGGATCTGCTGGTCTTCATCGTCACTTCCTACAGCATCGAGACCATCGTGGGGGTCCTGGGCAATCTCTGCCTGATCTGCGTGACCATGAGGCAGAAGGAGAAGACCAACGTGACCAACCTGCTCATCGCCAACTTGGCCTTCTCCGACTTCCTCATGTGCCTCATCTGCCAGCCGCTCACTGCCGTCTACACCATCATGGACTACTGGGTCTTTGGTGAGATCCTTTGCAAGATGTCGGCCTTCATCCAGTGCATGTCGGTGACGGTCTCCATTCTCTCTCTCGTCCTTGTGGCCCTGGAGAGGCATCAGCTCATCATCAACCCGACAGGCTGGAAGCCCAGCATCCCACAAGCCTACCTGGGGATTGTGCTCACCTGGTTCATCGCCTGCGCCCTCTCCCTGCCCTTCCTGGCCAACAGCGTCCTGGAGAACGTCTTCCACAAGAACCATTCCAAGGCTCTGGAGTTTCTGGCGGATAAAGTGGTCTGTACCGAGTCCTGGCCCCTGGACCACCACCGTGTTGTCTACACCACCTTCCTGCTACTTTTCCAGTACTGCATCCCGCTGGCCTTCATCCTGGTCTGCTATGTGCGCATCTACCAGCGCCTGCAGAAGCAGGGGCGTGTGTTCCGTAAGGGCGCCTACGGCTGGCGTGCGGGGCAGATGAAGCGGGTCAACGGGGTGCTTGTGGCGATGGTGGCTGCCTTCGCAGTGCTCTGGCTGCCCTTGCACATGTTCAACAGCTTGGAGGACTGGCACCCTGAGGCCATCCCTGAATGCCATGGCAACCTTATCTTCTTGGTGTGTCACCTGCTCGCCATGGCTTCCACCTGTGTCAACCCTTTCATCTATGGCTTTCTCAACACCAATTTCAAGAAGGAGGTCAAGGCCCTGGTGCTGACTTGCCAGCAGAGCCCCGCCATGGAAGAGTCCGAGCATGTGCCCCTGTCCACAGTGCACACGGAAGTCTCCAAAGGGTCTCTGAGGCTAAGTGGCAGGTCCAACCCCATTTAGCCAGGTCTAGGGCTTCTCCCTGCCATGTTCCTTGCCAGCTTCTTTCACTTAAATAAGTGGGCACGTTGCAAGCTGGGAGTGGCACCCCTCTGTCATTGCGGCTTTCTGGGGCCCAGATTGGCTGGTGAGAGCCTGTTTTGCATCCGTTTGCGTCGAGAGGCCTAACATTCAGCTATGTGTTCCTGGGAGGATTCTGAGTTTAGATTCTGCAGGTCACAGTGAGCCTTGCAGCTTGAGCTGCAAGATGCCAGAGCCGGAGATATCTGCTGGTAACAGGCAGGGTTCATTCTGGTAACTCAGCAACAGATGCCTGGTCTGGGAACCCAGGGATGTCACCTACACCAGTCAGACCGTGAGGCTGCTGTGCACTGAGGGAAGGAACACTTGGAGTCAGAGCTCTGGACCTTGGTCACCCCCTGACTTCTGTGAGGGATGATGCGTGTGGATGAGCTTCACCAGTGGTAGAGAATTCTATGGCTGCAAAGCAGTGGGAGTACTGTTACAGCATTAGCACATCCAGCTGAAGAGAACAGATCCTGGGATCTTGGATTCTCATGCTCCTCTGCAACAGGAATTCCGGAATTCACATCCTACTCCGTCCTTTTTCTCTCTCACTGCATCTGCCACCTGATGTGGAAATAAGCCTGCAAATGTCTCTTCTCGATGAGGTTGTGAGCACCTTGAGGGTGACATTGTATTGTCATAGAGCTTGTGTTCTCCATGCCTAGAGCAGGCCCCGGTGCAGGGGGAGAGCTCCAGAAAAGTTTTCATGGTGGATTGATGGTAAAGGTGCCAGTCACTGCTGAGTGTTTGGCCAAGGACAGGCACCCTGTGCTGTGATCTAGCGTGGGAAGGGGTCAAGGCTCAGGCTGTTGCACCCACAGTCTCTCGCCTGCTGGTCCTTGCCTCGCAGGGCCTCTTGACAAGGCATCTGGACAGAGACTCTGAGGCCCTCCCCACTGTGGACCCACTATAGAGGCCTCCAGAGCTCAAGGCCATAACTACAGCCTCCTTCATTCCATGCTCTGACCACTGAGCTGACTTGCCCTGGGTGATGTGCCATAGTTCTTCCAAAGCTTCCCCAGGACATTGGGCATCCCACTGGCCTCCAGTAGGAGCAGGGGCAGGGAGTCCTAGGAGTCAGACTTAATGGGGCATTGGCTGAAAGGAGCAGGGGTCCCCCTTCCTCCAGCCATCCAGGGAGAATGGAGAAAAGGGTCCAGTGAGTGTGAATATCTCACCTTAGGGGTCATGGCCCAGTTCCCTGGAGACTGAACCAGGTCCAAGGCTTCATCTACGTGTGGACCAGACAGCCTGTCCTTGCAGGCAAGGAAGTGTCAAGATTGCTCCTCGGCTGTCTTAGATGGGATGTCTCAGCCGGGCTCTGTCTTTTCAGACTCACTCTCCAGCGGAGTGCACCATGGCCCCAGCGTGGTCTCCCAGGGCAGGGTATTCAAATGCCAGGGCCCTCGAGAGGCCTCACCCTGAGGCAGCATTGGCTCTACACAGGGCATCTGGCAAAGGGTCAGCCAGAGGTTGAACAGCCACATCTGACTGTCTCTCTGGCCATCGTTCCTGACCAAGAACCTGTGCAGCCAACATCCAAGACAAGTGCTCTTCGAGCCACTAGCTCCCTTCTTGGAGCTGTTTCTCTTGTTCCTGCTTTTGGTCACATCTCCCACTCAGTTCCTTTGTTCACTTTTACCCTGGAGTTTTGGGCAGATTTCTGGAACCACCCTCTTGGACACAGCTTGTGCTTATCCTCTGGTGCCATCTGCTGCTGGTTGCTCTAGGTGAGCACCTGCCAGCAAAGCCCCAACTCTGGGACTCATCCCAGCAAGGTGTCGTTGTCCAGGCTCCCCAAGGAATTGGGGGCCTCAGGCCTCTCCAGAGACCATGCAAGTGCCTGGAGTTTGCTTCTCATTATCAATCTCAGTGGTGCCAAGATGCTTGGGGACAAGGATGATTTAGGGTGCCAGCAAGCTTGAGGACAGGGCGATGAGGCCGGGCATCTGGGAAAGGTGCTTGGCGTTAGGAATTGGGGTAGTAGGTGGAAGCCTCACTGAGTGTCTTTGGTGCTTCCCTCACCTTGCTTAGGGTGACACAGCCTGCCTGATGTCTGTGTCCTGCTCCCAGTTACTAACTACCTTGGGGTTGCTTGGTTGCCCAGCACCCTGGGAACTTACTACCCAAAGTGTGGTCCGAAGACCAGCAGTCCAGCATCACCTGGAGCTTGTTAGATGTGCAGAGTCCTTGTTGCCATCCAGACCTATTGAATCAGAATCCACATTTTATCAAGATTTCCACGTTAATTGTACACACATTAAAATTTGAGAAGTTCTTCTCTAAGAAACAGATTTCCCTGGAGCCTAGAGTCACTAGGTAAGCAACTGTAGACACCCACTCTGGGGTCTAGAGTAGAGCTTTAGGAATCTGAGTTCTGGAGACAAGACTTTAAAATTGTTATTGCTGAAAAGGTGCATTTATTTTGGTTGTTTGTCTCATCTCTGGCTGCATGTGGTCATATTTCTTGCAAAGTCTTCATTTCTTCAGTAAATGTTTGCCCAATGCATAGTTTGCATAGCTACATTCATAGTGAATGTGCAATTTTGTTTGCTGCTCCATTTCACTTAAAACTGTATCATCAAATTTTCCATCTTGCTGGATATCACTTTTGGCAGCTGCCTAGGAGTTTAGAAACGGCTCCAGTGAGAGCCAGCACCTCTCAGTGTCTCTCTGGGCCCTCTGCCAACTGCGATGGGAGGAACCCCCCTACAGAGAAGCATCTGGCTGGAATGGGGGACTCAGTATAAAGACTGACCAGGAACCCTCAGGGGGTGTAAAACCTTGTCACACCCTCTCACCTGGGGCTTAAATCCCTACTAAGGCTAGTCCTTTTCCCTTTTAAAGAATGTTGACTTGTTTTTTTCCATTATAAAAGTAATCATATTCATTCTTGAAAACAGGCAATATGTACAAAAATAAAATGAAGGGAAAAAAAAGGAAATCATTGTTAGTTCTACCACTCGCAGATAATCACTGTTTACATTTTGGGGAGTCATTTTTTTTAGTTTTTGTATGCATAGTTATATATGCATATGTCTGCTTTTTAAAAAAAAGATTGAGTTCATACTGTGTCTCTGTGGGTACTTATATATATAAAATATTTAAGGATTATTTTATATCTTTTTTGTTTAATCTTTTAAGAATTTTTATTCACTCATTTACTCATTAAACAAATATGTCAGACACCGCGTGTTAGCTGTTGGGGATACGGTGGTAAATAGCACAGACGTTGTCCTGTTCGATGGAACTGACAGCCCACTGATGGATGTATCCTGCCTTTAATCATCATCTGTTGTGGCATAATGAGCTGTTCCTAGGCCTGCTGCATGTAGTTCTGTGATGAACATCTGTCTGTATTTGAAATTATTCCTTAGGAGAGAGTTCTAGAAGTAGAATTAATGGGTTAAAGGGAATAGACATTCTTCAAGGCTCTTGATGTGTGCTGCTTAACTGATTTCCAAAGGGGCTGGGACAATTTGCGCTCCCCGAATAGTGCCTGTTTTGTTGTGCCCTGGCTGCTGTTGGGATTTACCATTAACAAAGGGCCTCGGCTTGAATTGCCTGGGTGGGAGGACGTCTCATCTCCGCCTCCAGGCCCCACCAAGCACAGTGGGCACTGACCTGTCCAAGGCCAGCCTGACTGTGTCCCTCTGTGAAACCTTCGGGGCTCTACGTGGCCTTTAGGATTGCAAGACCATATAACTCATCCTCCAAACAGGGGTACTTGAGCATGGAAGGGGGAACTATTAATAATCACACCGGGACAACAGGCAAAACCACTCTAGGAAACTGGAACATGAGGTCATCCTAGTATAGATAAATCACATAGCTGGAATTCAACATTCTCCACATCTGGCCCCAACTCTCCTTTCTAGCCTTTTTGCAGCCTGACCACATCACGTGGCCCTATCACAGCTGGCCTGGGCCTCACCTGGGCCTCACTGTCTCTGTACAATCGCTCCTGCCGGCCCCTCCCTCCTCCCCCGCAGTCTGTAACGCCTCCCTCACCCGTCTGCGTCTGCGTAGGGTCCCCGTCCTACCCTTCCTTCCAAACACAAAGCTAATGGCGCCATTCGTCACCGCACTCACCCAGCAAACAGGCGCTGACTGCTCGCCGTGTGTCAGGCACAGGCAGAACAACACTGAAAAAATTCCACCTCTCAGAAGTTTGATCTGTGTGCGCAACTGTAATAACTGCTCCTAAGGACGGACGCACAGCGATGCAGCGGAGAGTCTACCCTGTTACGGTTTTGAATAGACACACCGCCAAGCCACAAGGTACCCCAAGGGGCTTCCACCCCTGCTGAACCTCACACGCCCCTGGCTAGGGCAGGCACTCAGCAAACATTTGTTGCCTGAAGAATTAAAGTGAAAGACTCTTGTTTAGTCTGAAGAGAATTTTCTAACAACTAGTTCTGGGTTCCCCGTGAATCTGAGATCAAAGGGGCGCCTGAATTTCCACTGACATTAGAGAGCAGCCCAGGCCCCACAGCCGTGACTCTCACGCGACTGCTGCTGGGAGGGAACTGAGGTCCCCTGATTCACTGCTGTGCTGCTCCTCTTGAGGTTGAGTGACTCATCCCAGGTCACACAGCTAGAGACTGAGCACTGAAGAGGTCAGAGTGACACAGGAAAGACTCAGAATTTAACGACTGGATGAACCACCAAGGGAGTCACTGGAGCGGAGGGTGTCAAGACGAGGGAGGTGACACTCAGCTGGAGTGGCCAGAGGAAAACAAGAAGCCGGCACAGACCTCCGACATTCCCCAGACCCCACCCACTCTCTTCTGCTCAAGAGCGTCTCTCCAGCATCTTCCGTTTGCTCTGCTGCCCTCTGCACAAACTCCTCTGAAGCCTTGTCTCATCCTGCAGCGTCCGGTTCCTCTCCTCCCCATGCTCTCTGTACTCATCCGTCCATCCACATAGCTCTTGTCAAGGTCGCCCGTGACCTGCCGACTCCCATGGCCAATCCCCAGACTTGTCTGATGTGGTCGTCAGCAGCGTCGGGCAGGTGGCCGCCCTCTTCTCCTTGAGACGCTGTCCGCGTGTGGCTTTTTCAGGGCACCACACTCGTGGCTCTCCCTGCCTCACTGGTCACTCCTGCTCTGTCTCCCTCCCTGGACTCTCATCACCCTGGCCTTGGAACATGGGGCATCCCCAGGGTGTCACGGAGGTGCTCTTGCTCCCTAGGTGAGCTCACCCAGTCTTCTGGCAGTGAACACCACCAACTCCCCAGTGCCCCCAACGTGAGCCTCGGGTGCGGCCTCCCTGACCTCCGGATCAGGGCATCCAGGCTGCTTTGCGTTTACTGGACATCCAGTTGACGTCGCA